TATGCTCTTGCCTCCTTTGTCAAATATTAATTGAGCATAATGACTTGGGTCGATTTCTGGGTTCTCTGTTCTGTTCCATTGGTCTATATGTCTGTTCATGTGCCAGTACCAGGCAGTTTTGAGAACAGTGGCTTGGTAATATAGCTGATATCTGGTATTGTGATCCCTCCAACTTTGTTCTTCTTTCTCAGGATTGCTGTGGCTATTTGTTTTGTTTTTGTTTTGTTTTTTTGTTTGTTTGTTTTTTGTTTTTTGGTTTTTTTTTATTCCAGATGAATTTTTGGAGAGTTTGTTCTAGATCTTTGAAGTATGCCATTGATATTTTAATGGGGATTGCATTGAATCTGTAGATTGCTTTGGGTAGTATGGACATTTTAATGATGTTGAAACTACCAATCCATGAACATGGTATGTTCTTCCATTTGTTTATGTCTTCCTCTATCTTTTTTCAATGTCCTGTAGTTTTCCGAGTACAGGTCTTTTACCTCCTTAGTTAAGTTTATTCCTAGGTATTTTAATTTTCCCATTACTGTGAATTTTTGATGAGCATCTCTGGTGTTCTGATTTTGGTGTTCCATGGGCCATGCTTGAAGAAACACTTCTGTAATTAGTGGAATCTAAGTATAGGGTGAGATGAAGGGGTCAATGCAAACACAGGGATATCAATGAAGAGGCCATTTAGCCTGGCTGGAATGGCTCAGTGGTTGAGTGTTGATGAACTGGGAGGTCATGATTCGATTCCCGGTCAGGGCACATACTCAGGTTTCGGGCTCGACCCCCAGGGTGGAGTGTGCAAGAGGCGGCCGATCAGTGATTCTCTCTCATTAGTGATGTTTCTATCTCTCCCTTCCTCTCTCTGAAATCACTAAAAAAATATTTTTTTAAAAAGAGGCCATTTAGCCCCACTCTATTGGGACTATATTTATGGTAATGTAAGAGAGAAAAAGTGGGGAGGAGTTGTTTTAGTTTAAAAAAAAGAGTCCAAATTGCCGATGAGATAAGATATTGAGGAGACAGTTGGACATAAAAGTGTGATAGTGAGAGAAGGCTTGAAGATTTGGATGTCATCATCATATGAGTCAGTAGTTAAAACAATGAGAGTAATGAGATTATCCAGGGAACTGTAAAGTGAGGAGTTGGGAACTGAGGACAGATGCCTGGGGGACACTTGGGAATGCCTGCAGTGTGAGGCGATTAGTTAATCTACCCAAGTTAATTTTAGGAGGGTCATGTTCAAACCCCCATGTGCTGGCTGGCAATAGAAGAGGATCCAATCTACCACTTCTGAGTTTTCAAGTCCTCCTCATTCTATATCCGGGTCCCCTGTATTGCACATGTATCTTGGTGGAGGCTGACTCCAATTGGAGAGAGGTTTGAGAACTACTGGCTGCTGAGCAGACACCAGATTTGCTAAATTATTACAAAGCACAGACACTGAGGTATATCCTATTATCCCATGGTGGTCAAGATGCTAGGTTATCATCATTCCATTGGTTATCAGAACACTATTTGTATATCCCAGTGGTACCCTTCCTGGAAGGAATTAGAGCCAAACAAAACCCTTTAGTTAAAGCTCTTTCTATTTCCCACTGCTTCGTGAATCCAAATTTCCCACTGGGTGCAGACATGCTACTCACAGGGCACCAGACAGTTCTGTATGATAATGGCAGCTAGATTAGCCTCAAATAAGACCCTACATTTGTCATGAATAAATAATTCAGCTGAATGAATAAAGGAAATAACAAACGGTTTCAGCATGAGTAGGGAGGGAGAAAAGTTAATAAATCAACTGATAATAGAAAAACTGAAACTCTCAGGGTGTCTGAAAGTAGAAAGAGAAGATACAGTTGGAAGATCATGAAAGAATCATGTGGTGGAGGCATTGCAGATAATAAAAAGATCTGACTGGATAGCTGGCTTCGGAGTTGGCAACCACAGAGAGTAGAGATGAAAGTCAGTGGTATTAAGGAATGCAAATTAGGATATTTAATGGGTTCTCTGTAAGAACACTGAAACCTCCAAGGGTTCATAAAATGACTCTGAGCTAAAATACCACAAGTCTTTAATTAAGGAAGGGAAGTAACCAGGAAGAAAGTGAGAATAATGAAAAGTGTCAGAGAGTATCTTTGGCCAGATGTGGAGACTCTCAAAGGAGAACTAGCTTTGATGCAAGGACATAGGCTGCAGACAGCAGCCTGGGGATCCCTGCCCATCCTCCCACCCCTCATTCTTACTCAGTAAACTGTGGACTGTGGGAAAGAATGGTCTCTACCAGGAGACTGATGGAGACCCAGGTGTCACTCAAGGCTAAGGATGTGTACAGGAATGGTTAACAATGCAATTAAAGTTCAAGTATACAACAGGGGAGGTTAGGAAAGGACCAACAGCAGGAGACATTGTGGGGTAGAAGCACAGATCAGTACTAGGAGTTTGCAGCAGGAGTGGGGAGTGAGCCTTTCAGTAGATGCCCAAGAACTACAGGTAGTAGAGGCATATCTGTGTGAGAGGCAACAGATGCCCTGACTTTTAATACAAGTAGACGAACTGTAGTTAGCTTGGACAGCACTGTGCTCAGAGCAAGGGCACAGGCCTTGGCTATGAAGAGAGGAGCATGGTCTCATTTTCAGGAGGCAACTTATCTGTCTGGTGATTTCAACATAAACTTGACCTCCCCTACTTCCTCTCCCTTAGAGAATGTGAGACAGTTGTGGATTCCAAGGCTAATGCCAGTCTTATTGCCAAGTGTCAAACAATATAACTAGTTTCCATGGCTGAATATTGAAGCACACTTCCATATGCATTTCATTTCTGCTATGGCCTATCTTCTTTTGAAGCAAAATATAATGTGATTTGGCTTTCATTTCTTTTCAGAGTAGTGGAAATGCAAGAATTCACTTCTGTGGCAGAAATGCAACAGCTGTACCAACGTTTTATTCTTCTATGAGCACTGCCATTGTCATTTTCAAGTCCGAAGCTTTTAATGACAACTCTAGAGTGAGTTTTACCTATCAGATTGCAGGTGAGCCCTGGAACTTTATCTTTTGTACCGAACATCTTCCATCAGTACAATTATTGCTGGAATGGACTCCTGAGGGTAGACTAGGGCTTGTTAACTTGAGCCACACCCATATGAGGTGAGACTCTTCACCAGAAATCAGGCCCAATTTAGCAAGTTACTAAAGCTGGTTTCCGAAGAGGTCAAGCTAATATAATACTAATTCAAATGTTTAGAATGTCAGCATACTCTTCAAAGTTCACATAGTTAACAATTTAAAATTATATGTTATTTTATTAGTTATCCACTTGAACATTTATAGAAATCACTGTAGCTTAGAACATTTTTTGTCAAAACCAGGAAGCTTTGAAAGGCTATTTAATTACTAAAACTGTGAAGTTTATTTTCAGAGAACATTTTCTTTCATGTTCATTTTGAGCTTGATTAAAACTAACACTGCCTTTGATTAAAACAAACAAATAAAAACACTATGGTGTTTTCACCAAAAATGGTTAAGAACAACAATTTGCCAGTTCAATCAGAACAAATAATCCATTAAAGGGAAATCCTCATACAAGACTCTGTCTTGGAGGTAGAGACTTTATTCGTAAAAGAATCTAAATGTCAGCCAACCACCTCAGTGTGATCAGAAAAAGCACAGAAAATTCTAGAATATTCATCTTTAAAGGTGAGTGCTCCTATTTCACATTTCACCTGGGGGTGTTTCCTGTTGCCAAGACCCTGCATAGCGTTTGCTCCCTGTGCCCTTCACCTCCCCTCAGGGATCCCCGTGACCTCAAAGGTAGATGCAGAGGCTGGGTTAGTTTTTTCCTAAAGTGTTTAAATTTAATCATTTCTTGAATTATTTCTGTCAGGTTGAAAGAACACTAACTATTGGGATACATACATTAATTGTGAATTTTTTTTTTATCTAAGGTTGTAACAGAAACTATAAAAAGGTGTTTGGCAATCTGAAGAGCCCCGGATGGCCTGCTAATTATAACAGTGACATGGATTGCACTGTTACTCTCACAGCCCCACAGAACTACTCTATTTCCCTCTTCTTCCACTCCTTTGGCATCGAGGACTCAAGTGAATGCAGACATGACTTCTTGGAGGTAACATACATTTGGATCTCTTGCAAATGAACTATTTAAAAGATGATGGATCACTTCAAGTTTTTCACCTTTTTCTCTGCTGCTTACTCATTTCATTAATTTATACATTATTATTTCAGTCCATAAGTCTCCTATGGCCAGGCACCAGAAATGCAATAGGGCTCCCAGGAGGCGCATGGTCCAGTGGGAAGGCCAGGCAGGAAATAGTCAACTCCCACACGATGTGGGGAGGACTAACAGAGTCACGTGGGGGACAGAGAAAGCTTCTTGAAGCTTCGCATCCTCCTTCCACCCTCCACTCCTCCCCAAACACAAGAGAGCAGCCTCCTGGGCCTGGAGCAAGCAGAGGCATGCTCCTCCAGCTCTTGCCCCTCTGTGATTCCTGTCATTCCCAGAGCAACAGCAGAGCGCCCTCTGCGTCCTTTCTGCCCCACATCACCCACGTTGTGGAAGTGAGAAGGACTGCGGCGTTGTTATTCATGGGAAGATGTTCTGAATGAGGCCATAACTGGTGCAGGCTGTGTATGGAGCCCAGTGCCTCTATTTTGCCATGAAAGTCCCAGAGCTCCCGAGTGTCCTTTACAAGCTCTGTGGAAAATGAATTCATTCTGAGGAAATAAAGTGGTCTGCACAGAGGATGCTGAATTCTCTGCTCTCTTTGAGTCTGCAGTAAGGTTTCCATAAGGTTTGTTAACTCCTTTACACCTGTTATGGAAAGCTCTCCCCTACAGAATTCATCTAACTCCTTTGTTGATGAATATTCTTAACCTATAATGTGACAAGTAGTGGGAGGAAGTTGGGGAATACTTGCCCTGGTAGGAAACTGGAGGAGAGGGATGTAGCAGGGAGGAGTCGAGGAGAGAAATACAGTACTGTTTGTGTCAACCAGGGTGTTAAACTCAGACCTATGTACCTCACGTACCATGGAATCTAAACATTTGTATGAAGCGCAAAGCAGAAAGGAGGGGAGGAGTGGGATACCGGGAAGGACAGACTATTCGGTCATTTTGGAATCCCACTGAAGCTACGTCCTGCTCACCTCAAGCCTGAGTTGATCATCGCTGACTGGAGTTAGTGCTTGTTCTTTGCCTTTGTCCACTGGGAGTGAAGGCCAGCTCTCGAGCACTGACGGATGAGGACTTCTCCTCCCAGCTGCCCTTCCTTATCTCATAGAAATGGGTCTAAAACTTCTTGTCCTACGAACAAAAACAGGAAACTGCTACTTAGGCCTGTGAAGTGCAGCTGCATCTGGTTGTTGGTGGGAAGATCGTGGCATGGTTCATACGGCAGCCATCCCAGCAAACCTCAGCCTTCCATCTGGTAGCTATGGCAGGAACAGAAATTTCTGAGGATCCCAACTGTGTTAATCAACTCAAAGGCCAAGCCCTAGATCACATTTGGAATTTGCATTTGTCTTCTGAACTTTCAGACCCTCTCTTCTCGGGGTCCTCTAATGTCCCGGAGATGTCTACCACTCTCATGGTTCCTGCGAAGAGAAAAATGTATAGAATAAGTCATTAGCATGTTCTGTGGGAATTGATATCTTGCTCATCTCTCAGAGCACTAGCTTTCTTAAAGATAATCAACAGGGAAAAGGCCAAAGCCAAGAGTATTGTGATGGCATATCTGGTCCTCCAGCATCCTTGGATTGGCACCCGTCTCTGCCTGGTAGATAACTGGCTACTCTGTCCATGGCAAGGCACTCCAAAAAGCACCAGAGAGGCATTATTCCCTCGATTGGCTACTACATAGACTTAAAAGGAAACTCTGAAGGTTAACACAACCCAGCAAGATGAGCCACTGGGCCTCTGAAGACACTCTGTGACTTAGAACAATCAGCAGTGGACCAAATGTTAAACTACAAAATTATAAAGGAGGACCTTCCAAGATTCTGAGTACCTATATTAATAAAACCATCACCTCTGCTTTGGCTGGAGTCCTCCTCAAATGCACAGGAGGAGCCAGGCCTGAGGACAGAATGAGGCTAAGTTCACAGTGTGTATGTGGTTATACACATGTTGACTCGCTTCCTGGTTTTCTGTGTCTACTCCATGCAGTGAATTAAAAAAAAAAATCTAGTCAGCTGCAAAATGTATTTTTAAAATATATCTTAACAGTAAGAAATTTTGTCAATTGAGTTGTCTCCTTTTTCCATATAGAAATTTCTTTTGTTTGAACATTATATGCTTTACTAGAGGCCATGTACACAAAATTCGTGCATGGGGTGGGGGTCCCTCAGCCTGGCCTGCACCATCTCACAATCTGGGATCCCTCTCACAATCTGGGACTGCTGGCTCCGAACCTCTCGCCTCCCTGCCTGCCTGATCATCCCTAACCCCTCTGCCTGCCTGCCTGCCTGATCACCCCTAACCACTCAGCCTGCCTGTCTGATCACCCCTAACTGCTCACCTGCCTGCCTGATCGCCCCTAACTGCTCACCTGGCTGCCTTATCACCCCTAAGCACTCTGCCTGCCTGCCTGATCACCCCTAACCATTCTGCCTGTCTGATCGCCCCTTACCACTCACCTGCCTGCCTGATTGCCCCTAACCACTCTGCCTGCCTACCTCATCACCCTTAACCCCCTCTGCCTGCCTGCTTGATCGCCCCTAACCACCTCTGCCTCAGCCCCGCAGACGCGGCTTCATCCGGAAGGATGTCCGGAATGACATCCGGCTGTCTGGTCTAATTAGCATATTACGCTTTTATTATTATAGATTATATGCTAATGTGTAGCAATGATAAATCAAAGAAGTATAACATACTCAAGGATAATAATTCATGACTCATTTTTAAAGGTAAGAAATGGAAGTGATAGCAGTTCGCCATTACTCGGCACATATTGCGGAACTCTGTTGCCAAATCCTATCTTCTCTCAAAATAATGAACTGTACCTGCGATTTAAGAGTGATAGTGCAACTTCCAGTCGTGGATATGAAATTATCTGGACCTCATCCCCCTCTGGTAAGACATTTGCACTTCGTGTGGTAAAACAATGTAGGTGAGAAAAACATAATGTGCCTAATAGAAAAAGGCCATTAAAAGTGACCTATGTTTTTAGCCATCTGTATACTTGATTATTTTCTGATAAAAGTAGAGATTTTTAACAATGAATGTACAAAGATTCTATTTAATTCTACTTTTACTCATTTCTGTAGATTATTATATGTTAAAGAATATAAATTTACATATAAAGCCCAGAAAGTATAAAGATTTTAAAAATTCCTTTATAAATTCTGATTTTGTCATAATTTTTACTTTTGAGTTAATCATCAAGGTAGTTCTCTGAGAATTAAAAGAAAAAGTTGTTTTTTTAAGGCACATTACAACCCCATCCTTGTGCGTACATAAGCAGCTGTGCTCTGGGCAGCTCCTGCCATTTCTGGGCAGTCCTGGAGGTTAATTGCTTTTTCAGGGCAATAAGTACCTTTCTGCATCTTTGATTGGTTGTTCATCAAATAATGAAGGAAATTTAAGTTATGTCAGTATCTTTAAACTCAAAAGAGAAAGAATACTTTGTGACATGTCCTCAAAATACCTAAAAACTTTCAAAATAAGAATGATAAAAATGACATTTTAAATACACTGAGGAACAAGAAAAGGGTTCTATCAAGACAATCATAGGTAATGGAATCTTGGCGCCTAAAGATACTTAAAGGTGAGCTTCAATGCCCTAATTTCACAGATGAGGACATACAACACCGAACTAACGAGTTGCCCAACATGCAGAGCTACCAGTAGATTGTGGCGGAGGCAGGACCAGACGCCAGTGGTCAGAACCCAGCCCATTTGTTTGTTTTGTCATGCCATGTATCTTCCTCCTGTGCCGCACCATATCTGGATACCCAAGGCTATCTGGTCTGAATAATGATAGTATACAAATAAACAAATTAACACCAACACTTACTTTTTTTGGCTTTAAGTATGTCAGTGACAAGCCCAGTCAATTCACTTTTATAATAATTACTGCCCAAACATCCAGTAACATGTTTTCTGTTCAGCCCTGAAATTTCACTTTTATTTCACCCACATCATTATAAGAACTCACTGCTTATGGAGAACTCTACCATAAAAAGTACACAACAACTTCAATTACCCTCCCCTACAGTTACCTAATCTAGTTCTCGGTTTTCCCATTGTGTTTGCAGCCCACCATTTTCAAAGAACTGACCTGGAGGAAGCTGCCCCTAAATCATGATAGAGGGAAAGGAAGATGTGGTGCAGAAAGGGGTGGGGGAGGCGTGGGGGGCAGCCTGGTGGTGAGGGAGTGGGAGGGACTTGGCTCAAAGGAGAAACAGGAGAAGGGTTTCGCCTCCACTGTTCTTGCAGAGGGTCTCAGCACCTTAAGGAAACAACAGCCCCGTGGTATTGCCTTACAAGTGCACTAAAGGACTCCAGCTGTTTTCTTCTTTGTTGAATCAAATTTCCTGCAATTCTTTCTTGCAGGCTGTGGTGGAACTCTTTATGGCGACCATGGCTCCTTCACCAGCCCCGGCTATCCGGGCACTTACCCAAACCACACTCACTGTGAATGGGCCATCACCGCTCCTGCTGGAAGACTTGTCACCGTCAACTTTTACTTCATCAGCATTGACGATCCTGGAGACTGTGTCCAGAACTATCTTATACTCTATGATGGACCAGATGTTAATTCTCCATCCTCTGGACCATATTGTGGCACAGTGAGTAAAGCAAGATTTTCAAATTCCCATTTATTATGTTTAAATAATGAAAGTAACTCAGCATACACGTTTAAAGGCAGACACATGCAAAGTACAAAGCACAATGTACTGTTACGTATTCCGTACAGTTTTCAGATTTTCCTTTCTATTTGGGGGAGAATGAGTGCCACCTAGTGGTCATTGCATTAAATTAATAGTAATATAGTTTCCAAACCCAACTGTGCATCCGAATTACATGCAGTTATACAGTTTTTACATAGGAATCACCTATGCTGTTACAGTTACAGTTATTACATTGCAGACTTCCAGTACACACACCTACCGAATCAGAATTTCTGGGGGAGGAGGTGTGGCACATTGTTTTTTAAAAGTTCCATTTCAATGCACCACTGAAGGTTGAATACCCGCACTTGTTTCTGCATGATTAGGACTTCAGAAAATTTAGATGCTTGGCTCCATTTCATATACTTCTTGTTGAAAATTGTGCAGATTCTTTGAAGAAGACACAGATATTAAAGATTGGTCTGGTGACCAGGCGTTTGATAGTTTTTGCAAAGTTCTGATGGACTGGTAGATTTCTGACATTGACTCAACACTGTTTGCATGTGCCTGCACTGCCTTCTCGTTTTACTGAAAGTAGATACTAACAGAGCTTTCAAGTAAGCAAATGTGATTGCTGATGGGAGGGTATCTACTTCTCACTGTTCTACTTTTCAGCTACTTGGGCTTTCTAACCAAACCTGACTGAGAATTATGTCATCTGGAAATCTACATAGTTTTTTTCAAAATATATTTTTATTGATTTCAGAGAGGAAGGGAGAGGGAGATAGAAACATCAACGATGAGAGAGAATCATTGATCAGCTGCTCTCTGCATGTCCCACACTGGGAATTGAGCCCACAACCCAGGCATGTGCCCTGATCTGGAATTGAACTGTGACCTCCTGTTTCATAGATCCATGCTCAACCACTGAGCCATGCCAGCTGGGCAATCTGGATAGTTTTTTTTTTAAATATAACATGATTTGTAAAATTAACAAATGTCTATTTTCAGAATTATCAGAAAATAAATGTTTTTCCAAAGCCCTGGGAATTCTCCTACGTATTCTTCAAAAACACCTTTTGAGTATATTTGCAGATGCACAATATATTTTATACTGTTTTGTCGTATGGATTTTTCACTTACCAAAATATCATTACCATCTTATCATACCAATAAAAACACTGGGGTATCATATTTAATCATTGGATGGGTATTCTATTGCATAGGTACCACCTAATTTATTTGATGAATCCTCTCTGGTTTATAGACAATACCGTGAAAAACTTTCTGGTAGCTGTATCTTTGTATACAGAGTTAATCACCTGGGAGCAGTCTTAGTCACTTGGCCAGTAGATACTGAATCCTTCTTCTTCTCAGGGGATTCACAGGAAAGAGAAGCCAGTCAGTGTGTCACATTTCAAATTTAGAGACTGACTAGGTCTTATAATTTATTTGAAATTCATAAACATTTCAAATGGGAGAAAAAGAGGTCACCTTTAACAACACCATTATTTTGTATCTGCTTGGCTTTTTTGTTTTGTTTTCAGTGACTTTCAAACATGCAACCCCATTTGCTCCCCACAGAGATAATTCAGTGATGTGGGAAGAACAAGGATAACCAGGACTTTGCAGATAAAAGAAAACTGAGGGTAGAACTTAACTGTCATTTAAATTAATGGCGCACTAAGTCAAAGTCTATAATTAGATATGCCAGGTTTTTTTTTAATTGTGGGTATTTATAATATTTCACTAGTTTTACATTTTCTTTGATAAATGAGGACATCATTTTAAGTATAATTGTTTTCTTTTTAAAATTACAGATACAACTGATTTCTTTAGCATTTCAAGTTCAATAAAATCAGTTTACTTCCAGAGTGATAAAAGCCACTCCTTAGATTGTTAACCTAAGTAACAAAATCTGAACATGAAAGAATAACAGGAAAAATTCGGAGAATCAAAGTAGAGTTAAAACTTTGGTTAACTATTCACACTAGTTTGTTAAAGTAAAATAATAATTGAAAAATTTGGGAGATTAAAGTGGAAAGAAAAAATTGCATGCATGCGGAAATATGCAATATTGAATATACCTTGATATATATCTTCTCGGGAAAATATTCTCTGTGCTGTACTCACTTGAATAATTCACTGTCTTGGAAATGTCTGCCTTTGATGAGTCTTTGGGAGAATTGATGCAGTGAGGCCCAGCAGAATGGGGGCCAGATTCCAAACTGCAAACAATCTCAACCTACTGTATAGTTTACTGACATATTTGGCTCACAGTTCACCTACTCCCATTTAGAATGTAGCTCATGAGAACAAGACCTTTTGTCTGTCTGGCTCATTTTTTTATAACTCCAGTGCTAAAAAAAAAAAAAAAGTGCCTGCAACATGGAAGTCTCTTGATACCAGGTAAATATTTGTTAAATGATTAGGAAATGGGAGAAAGCTGAGACCCCACCCCCAAACACACATTGTTCCACAGAAAGGGAAATGAAAATAAATCCCCAAAGAAAACTATAGATATTAAGGGGAGAGAGTTGCATACTTTACTTACATGACTGTTTCGGTTGCAAATATAAGTATGTGTTTTCATTAGAAAAATTAAAATTTTAGTAAGAACTTGAATTGGAAATTCAATTTTTTGTGTTGTTAATCCTCACCCGAGGATATTTTCCCCCCATTGATTTTTAGACAGAATAAAAGGGAGAATGAGAGACTGAGAGAGAGAAACATTGACGTGAGATACATCAATTGGTTGCCTCCTGCACTTGGGGATCGAGCCTGCAACTGAGGTATGTGCCCTTGACCGGAATTGAACCTGAGACCTTTCAGTCCACGGGCTGACGCTCTAACTACTGAGCCAAACCAGCTAGGATGGAAATTCAATTTTTAATGACAATTATTCTGAGATATAATTCACATACCATATAATTCATCTACTTAAAGTATATAATTCAATAGTTTTATTAGACTGAAAGTTGTGTAGCTATCATCACTACAACCAATTTTAAACATTTTCATTACCCCCAACAATCCCAGTAAACTATATTCATAACACCCCATTTCCCTTCAACCCCTAACACCAGTAATATTCTTTTATAAAGTATGTATATTAATTCCTAGCAAGATTACTTCTAGACATATTTAATGATTTACTGTAATTTTGTTACTGCTTTTTGTAGTACCTTTTACTATGCTAACATTTTTTGAAAAAGGTTCAGATTTGTGAAAAATATAACTTGTTACTTTTTTTTTTTCAATTTTAGGACACTAACATAGCTCCCTTTGTGGCCTCCTCACATCGGGTCTTCGTAGAATTTCATGCAGAATATGCAGTGCGCCCGTCAGCAATACAGTTAACCTGGGACAGCTGAGGGCGCCACACTGATTCAGCCCTGTGGCTCATCTGCAGGAGCCTCAGACATCGCCCTGGACAGAGTTCTGCCATCCTGAGCTGTGACCCTGCCTCTGCCACTGAGAGTAACTTTAACACTTGTTTTTCACCAAAGAATGTGGGGAATCAATATTTGTACATTTTTAAAAACGTAGAACATAGCTTCTTTAATTTTGGCTGTGCTCGTCATCCTTAATGCTAATATTTGAGCTGAAATTTTCTAAAATTCCCTAAAGAGTTGGAAATGATTATGGTATATGTGCTGTAAATTTTCAAATGTAAATGATAAAACAGAGGTGTGATTTTTACTGTGAATGTCAAATTATGTGTAATAAACTTGAATTGTACACAAATATGCTGCATTCATTTTTAACTTTTCATTTTTTATTGTTTAAGGTATTACAAATAGTAGTACATATGTCTCTCTCTCTTTCTTTTCCCCCATCGACCTCCCCCCGGCCTCCCCTAACCCCTGGCACTTGCCCTCATCCGCCCCCCCACCCCTCCACCAGTGTCTTGTGTCTGTTGGTTGTGCTTATATGCATGCATACAACTCCTTTGGCTGATCTCTTACCCCTCCAAACCTCCCCTACCTTCCCGCTGTAGTTTGACAGTCTGTTCGATGCTTCTTTGCCTCTATCTATTTTTGTTCATTCACTATAAGATGTAGGTGTATATAAATTTTCAAGTTGAATTTTTACATTTTAGTATGAATCCTTCAGGGAAAGAACACTGGAGCCAAGCTGCTGCATTCGGATTTAGTTCTACCAGTTAAGAAGTGTTTACTTAATTCTCTCTGTTTCAGTTTCCATAAGTACCACCAGTTTAAAAATATAATATGTGGAGTTATAAATAGTTGATCAACACTTTTACAAACTTTTCTGCTGCCTTTAACAAAACAAGAGACTTTATGTTAAATATGTAAAGTTAGGTCCTATTAAGAACATGGGACCAAGAGAATGAAAGAAGCTTTGGGAATGTTTTACTTTATTGTACTCTTATATTCAAACTAGTGGCCCAGTGCACGAAATTCATCCACATTAAAAGGGAATTAGCAGAAATATTTTAATGTTGCTATTTGCCCTTTCTCTATAATAGAAGTGTGAGAGATGAAAGGAAATTAGTAAAATGTATATGAAAATAATATAT